CATTCCTGCAACAAGGGTATGACAGAGACACTTCTTCCTACAGGACAAAAGGAATTGGACGAGATCCTCTGAACAGGAACTTGATCGTGGGAAGAAAGGGTTTTTTTTTTTCTTTTTAATAAGATGCTCTTGTCGTACAGCCCTTATACAGGAGAAGAACACACATAAACCCACCATTACATCTATACAAATGTGCAAAGGTGTAAACAGATGTTCTACTTTGAGGGACTTGGAACAAAACCAGAGTTCACCCCCAGGCACCTGTGAGTACAAAGCTCCTTGCCTCAGAGTTCAGTCTTTCTTGCTGTTTGCTTTGGGACTTCCAGCTGTGAATAACAAACCCCTGTATCCAGGAACACCTTCTGTTGTCAAACGTTTCCCTGCCATCAGCATAACTATTTATAACTAGGTGCCAACCAACACAGGCTGCCATCCAGGCACGCGTCTGGGCTTCAGTCCCACTCCCCCGGAGTCCTCTCCGATCCACAGCCAAAGTCATCTGAAGATCCAGAGACCTGGTTCCTCAGAAGGTAACTACATATTCATTAGAAAAGCAGAGAGACATGTCTACAGATGGCATTTAGGCACATAAAGACTTTAAAGGAGCTGGGCCTTCATGTTCACCGCCCTCAATAACAATTATTTCACCAATAGGAAAGTCTGTAAGGACTGCGGCCAAGGGTCCTGGAAATAGAGCCCAGCAACCAACATGGTCCATGTAGGCATAAAATCAGCCTTGAGAATGCAGTTGCAGGACTGGGACCACAGAGAAGTTCCCCAGAACTTTAAAAGCCTCTGGATAAGACAGCATTTTCAACTAATCTATTGTTGATCTCTGCTAGTGTAAAAACGTTCAGGAAAAAAGTCACTGCAAAAGATTAAGTAGTTGTCTATGAATTTCACATCTTCTATTATGTTTCTTTAAGTAAATGTATAATTTCACTATACCATAGACGAAGTCAATTTTGCAATTAAGTTTCTTACAAAAAATAATATACAGCAAATATTAAATTGGTAGCCCATTCAGTAAAGATTCTGGCTCATTTAATTGTTTTTCTTTAAATGAGCACATTCAACTTGGAAATATTCAGTACACCCCTGGTGCAGCTCCTGGGGAGCCAGAACGAATTTTGCACCTACTCTTGAATGTATATAGCCTATTGTCCGATTTATGTTGCACCTACAGACACACATTTTTGTTGCCTAGCATGGAAATGAATCAGCTAAGACTAGTAAATAAAATGACCACCCAATTGCAACTACATTCTTGCCTTGCATGAGGAAACAGGTATGATTTGCTTATGTACGCAAAGCTTCTAGCTCACATTTGGGTCCACGCTGCAGCAAATTAGGGAAGCATTAAGAGATCTGGTCTGATATCTACCTGGTTGTTCAGACACTTCACACACGACCCAGAAGCAGCAGCAAATATTCTAGCATTGCTGTCTGGAATGGCAACTCTCCAACACCGCAGCTGTAACTACCTACAGAGTCCAAGAGTTATCCAAATATTTATCTTCAGAAGGAGGGCTGGGGGAAAGAGCAAGTGTAAAAAAAAGAGGAAAAAAAAATAGCAGCAGGAGCAGAGTACATTTCCAAAAACAAGGCAGAGCTATGTTAGACCATTTGGCCAACACAGGACTGCGATTCCTCCTGAACAGCTGAAGCCTTGTGTGAAGTCACTAATATTAGTGTAAAAGCATTTTGCTGGCATAGCCTGTTTCCTAGGGGAAAGCTTGATATAAACTATACTAGCCAAAGATGTTTTTGTGTCAGGAAGTTGTATTCACCTTATGAACATTTGTCATTGTAGGTTTTTTAGCCAACCTCCCTCCTGCAGATTTGGCTTTTCAGCAGAAAAACCCAGCAAATTGTGCAGATTCAGGGAACACACAGAACACGAGCCCCTCCCAGGAGGGAAACAGGACACTCACATCAAGTGTCCTTCTAAAACCAGATGGGAAATTTTCACTATACAAAGCAAAAACATTGTGGGAGGGGAACAAAAAGCCAATCCTTGGACTAAGGCCCCAAGAGTGCAGAAAACAGTACATTGGATACCATTGTATTACAAAACATCTACATTTTGCCCTTCAAAAGATGTAGTAGGGCACTGCTGACTGCTTAAAATGCATACGTTCAGTCCCCCTCACTCCAAAAGTTGGAAGTTCAGCAAAATGCAGTTCGAAGCATTGCAGCTTTTGATACGCCACCCATTTACTTAAACACATAAATCCACTGACATAGTGACAGTGTTGACATAGATAATCCAAAGAGCATCTATAAAATTTTACTGTTGTACATAAATAATGACAAGGCACAGAACAGCAACCAGTCCAAGAGCTTGTAGGCCAAGAAACCAGAGCATAACCCAGAAGAATATAATTATCACAGGTTCTACTATCCGTTCTCCGAAGTACATCCTTGTGAAGCCTATTCTGATAAGGCTTTTGTTTAGTTCGCCAAAGAGAGTCCCCATCTTTTTATAGTCATCTATTACAGGTTCTGTGGTGTGGTTGCTTTGTTCTTGCTGGACCTGCGGACAGAAGACAGAATTAGGAAATACGTTGTACAATTGGTTCTTATTACTGTGATTCTGAACCAGTCTCAGCTGTTTCTATTTGAATGAGTAAAAGCAAGATATGCATGCAATAAAGTTACTCTTTAAATTGAGAAATTGAAAATGTGACAAAGCTTGTGACTTTGATACAAGGTTAAGGTTGACAGCCACTTGTCCAACCTTGGGACATCTGAAGTGATACTACAAACATCTGACAGCCTGTCTCCCCTCCAGAGGCCACCCTAGAGGGGTAAAGCTCTCCTGTAGGTCATACATCTCACCTGTCTGTGCAGCATGGCTGTCAGGGCTACCAAAATGGAATTAGATGCCTGTAGTTTCAGGGAGGAGATTTGACTGAAGTAGATGTGTTATAAATTATTTCCAGAGTATCTTCAGAACCATAAGCACAATACAAAACTATTAAGCACAACCTATAAAGTATTTTGCACCAAAGCACAGGGAACTGAAGGGCTAACATCACCACTGAAAGAGAGGCACTGGATTCGATCAGGAAGGCGACAAACATCCATGTTGGAGTAGAAAGCTGTCAAAGTCAAGTAAAGGAAGACAGACCCAAGGACTACACAGATGCAAAGTGGTGGTCCAAGAAGCAAAGAGGAGGGGAAAGAAGTTCTGCACTTTTCCCAAGGGGAAAAAAAAAAAGTGACGGGGCAAATGCATAGGAAGGCAATGATGTATAGAAGGACATCTTTAGATGAAGATGCCACGTGTTTAAATATCACTGCAGAAAACACACAACAGTTTCAACAACTGTAACTCGATCAGAGTGTCCCTAGGGGACACTCCTTCCCCAGTGTCCAGAGATCCTTTGCACAAAACCTTGTTGCCTCGTGTTCGGGTATGATGGGGCGAACACGCTTTCAGGATAATGAACGTGAGTTTTCTAATCCTTCCATCAGGCAGCAATGAAAACACGTGCAGCAGCTGCTCCTCAATACATCAATCAACTGATCAATAGGCCCAACAAATAGGCCCGCAAATTCCACATGCAGTCAGTCTCCTGGATTCAAAGCACACATGTATCTTTAGTTCTGTCTTCAAGGATGAAAGCTATTCTGTGCCCCTGGTTACACAGCATGGTCTCAGTGGAAAAGCAGAAATTCCCTCCTACAGCAGCACCAGGGGCTCCGTTAGATAGCAAGTAATAAAGTGAATTCCCATTCCCTCAGAAAAACATCCAGCAAAGACCAAAAAACGCTAGCATTTTTTTTTTCTAGGCAAGACTTTAGGCCACGATGCAGAACCTTCTGACTGAACGAAGAATGAATAAAGCATGACTGCTACTACCGAAAAAAAAAACCCCAACAAAACCCCCAGCAGTCCCTAAGCTGTGTGTGCCAGTATTTTTTTTATTTGCTTATTCAGAAAGATTTTGGTTTAAGTTTCAGTGCTGAATCCCAGAAAGGGAGGGGTGCAGGAAGCCTAAATAGTAATGAATTTTTTTTTTTTTTTTAAACAGAATTTTCTCTACAGAAGAGCCTGAACATGGAGAACTGCGGTATTGGAGGTTATTTACTGACAGCTCACCGCCTTGCCTGTTTCCAGCCTGCTTCTCAGGCCCAGGTCGTTTTCTCCCCCTCACTGGATACAGGAACCCCCGTTTTCAGCCTTTTGGCTCTAACCGTGCTTCATTTAATTCAAACGAACGTCGACTCCTCTCTTAACGCCAGCGTTCCGCGA